TACATGTTGCAAGGACCTTCACTCATATGCAAAACCTGAATTCTACACCATAAGTCACAGCTTCTCGTGGCAATGTGCTTACTGTTTCACGGAAAGGAGGGCTCTCTCTTCCCGTAGCCATTTCCTCAAATTATACCATGGTCCCTGGCCTATTTCCATTTCTCCTGAAGTGACGCCCATAGCAACGTTCACCAGGAGCTTCTAATTAGACCATTAGTGCAAGCTGCTGGATGGAAGAACGGCCCATTTATCAAATGACTTGTCCAAGAAATGACAGTAAAAACAAATCTACACGTGTCTGTGTGTTAGAGGGATGCATGTGCACGTGTGCTCTCAAATCTGTGCAGGAAGGAGTGCGTCAATAAGAACAAACATCAAACACAGAGATGCCTCCCAAGCCAGGGCGCCCCTTGCTTCCCTGCCCTCCCTTCTGACCCAAGAGGTGGGGAGATGATTTCTACAAAACTTGAAATGCTGAAAATACCCTAAAAGCAAATCTCATCTCGGCTGGCCTCTTGCCTGGGAATATGCTGAAAGGAGAGGCCAGCGAAGCATTTCTTCCACTGCCAGATAGGTTCCCATTTGGAGTCCTGTGCTCTTCTTGCAATTATTTAAGCTGCATCACAGTATTAATAACTCATCGGAGATCATCATCACTGTTCAAAAAGCCTCATTAGGTGCAAAGACAGGCGTCGCGGCTGCTGCCAGGGCAGATACTATAATGAAGTTTGCATCTCTGCCTCGACCGAAGCGTTTGGGCCTATTACTCCGGAGATAGTCACTGGCTCAGGATTCTTCCTCCAGGGCCTAAAAATATTGTATTCTCAGCTTTGGACACAAAAGCTAATCGGGAAGGAAACAATGGCATCAGCACCTTGGACTGGGAGTTAACAGCATCTAAATAATACCCAGACTCTCTGCTAGGATGTGGGTAAGGGGAGGCTCAGCAGGGAGCTGGCCACGGGGACTGTGGGAGTTCCCAGTGGGTTTTAAAGGAGGATCAATCATGTGTGTGTCTGCATGAGCGCATGTCCCTGCTCATGTACATGTGTGTGTGCCTATGTGCATGCGTGTGTGTGCACTGCATACCCGCACGTGTATATGAACATTCCCGGGACTTACTATGTCCCTGATGCTTTTCCCACATTATCTATTCCCCTATTTTCCCCTGTTTTCTCATTTAGTCCTCAAAAGGTCTTGAGGCATTCAGCCCCCTCCTCTTCTGCCTGGAGAACACCTAGTCAGGCTGCCTGACCCAGGTCAAATGTCATCTCTTCCAGGAAGCCTCCACTAGCATCCCCTGGGGCACTTTGCTGCTCACTTCTCTGTGCTCTGTTGGCACTTTGCACACCTGAGAGCCTGCCCTGGACAGATGTGGTGGGCATGGAGCAATAGGGACGACAGGATCTAGTGGGTGTGGGCCTGGGATGGGCCCTTCTACTCCCTGTGCTTCGGGGCTCCCCTCCCACCCCTGGCAGGGCACATCTGGCCTCTGCAGCCTGGCCCTGCCTCCACTCCAGCACGAACCCTCTCCCGGCTCCCGCAACAGCCGCCCAACTGCCTGCCTGAATTCGTTTTCCTGGAGTCTCCTCACCCAGATCCGTCTGCAGTCAGCTTCCCCAGGGACCTGTGTTTCTGCAGGGGCCCTCGGGAGTGGTGTGGGGCCCCAGCTGCCCCACCTTGGAGACTACACCCCATTACCTGGCTTTGCTTTCTCCAGGACACTCCCCACTTCTGCAAACACTCTCCCTGGACCTGACTTCCCTATCTGTCCCCCAACCGGAGTGGGAACTCTGTGACACGGGCCCTGTGTCATCCCTGGCCACGTCCCAGTGCCCTGAGCTGGACCCGGCTCACAGGGGTGCCCAGAGAATAAAGAACTGTGCTTCTGCTTAGCCACCTCTTGAATTAGACTGAGAGCTTCTGAGGACAGGGGCCACGACGCTCCCAATGTGTATGCTTAGTGCCTTGCACGGTGTACGGTGCAAAATGGTTGCTTAATCCAGAGCTTCTCTAAGATGCCTGCAAATCACACAGAACTGGTGAAAATGAGTCCAGGGAGGGGCCCCAGATGCTGCATCTCTAAGGCACCCCATTCGCTGGTCTGGAGACCACACTGAGAAGCAAAACGGTAACATGTTCATTAAGTAAATGCCCTGCAGGCGTGCACCCCAGGAAGCAGCTCCTCTGTGTGTGCTCACCAGGCCGGGCACAATTTCAGAACCATTTCATGATGTTGATGCTGGCCTGGCACACACAGCACCTGGGAGATAGTGGGTGCTCAATGTTTTCTTTTAATAAAGTGAATATATAAACCCAGCATCAGAAAATGATGCAGAGAATGGGTTGCAGCTTCAGGGTTTTCCCCTAAAGAGCTGGAATGAGCTTCCCTCTGCTCCTTCTTCCAGCTCACCAAAACGTCCCTGAAGAACGAGGCTTGCAAAATTCAGAAGTGTAGGCTGTGTTATGACTATTTGTACTGTTATTATTATTGTTTTGTTTCTTTTTCAGCTGCTTCCTTTCCCTCCTAAGCAAGGCCTGTTCCACCGAGATGTCCGTCCAGCTGCTCGTGACAGTGGAGCCCTGGAAGTTAAGACGTCTGAGTTTCTTTTGAGGACCTGGTCATTTTCAGAGCAAGTTTCCTTCTGGAAGTTTAGGGCCATCCTCTCATTTTCCACCCCACTGGGGAGCGGGTGTCTGCCTGTGTGATGTAGCGAGCCCATCACTGAAATGCAGCAAGATAAGAACCTTGTGATAAAACATGTGCTTTGGGGTGTCAGCGAGGGTGCTGGCAGCATCCCCTCACCCGGGAGGGCTCAGCTGGACACCCTCTAATCCCACCACATGATGAGGACTCACTGCGTTCACCAGAAAGCATGGCCAGCAGCCCCCAGCATGGGCCGGGCAGCAGGGCACGGTGCATCTCCACCCACTGGAGAAGGTGCATTCTTGGAAGTCTAACGCCTCACTAGCCCCTACCCTTGGCATCCTGCAGCTTGGCTCCGGGTGGCACTGTGGGCACGCGTCAGGCCAGACAGTGTCCTGCTGTTCTCCTCCCTCCTGGTGTGTCCCTGTCTCTCATATTTATGTCTGACTTTTCTACAGAACCATGTTTCCAGCTGAATGCAACACTGCTTTTTGGATGCTGAGGAACAGAGCCATGCAGTCCCTGTAGGCATCCATAGGCACCAGGACTGGTGGACTGAGCTCGGCCTAAACAAACGCCCATGGAAGGCAACGGGTCCATCTCCTCGGAACAGACCTGGGTGGTGGAGAATGGGCTGCACGTGCCCCATCAGGTGCAACTCAACTGAGACCAGGGAAAGGCCAGACAGGGCCCAGTCTCCGCCTTCCCTCCCCCCGACTCTGCAGTGTTGTGGGAGAGGTGGGCACACACGCAGGAGGGCAGAGGGTGCATGGTGGTCAGCAGGTGGGCATCTGAACAGGCCCCGGGAAGAGCAGAGCCAAGGGTTAGGCCAGGGCTGACAAGGAGCACCGCAGTGTCTGGCCGCAGGTTGCCCAGGTGACTCCGGAGATCTGCAGGGAGGGCACAGGTGAGGGGTGTGGGGCACTGGGCAGCAGAGGAGGGAAGTCAGGGGACACAGGCTAGATGTTTGTCCAACCCAAATCTCATGTTGAACTGTGATCCCCAGTGTTGCAGGTGGGACCTGGTGGGAGGTGTTGGGTCATGGGGGTGGATCCCTCGTGGCTTGGTGCTGTCCTCACCACAGTGAGTGAGCTCTCATGAGAGCCAGTTGTTTAAAGTATGTGGCACCTTCCCCGTCTGTGCTCCCCTATGGCCATGTGAAGCGCCTGCTCCCACTCTGCCTTCTGTCATGAGTAAAAGCTCCCTGAAGCCTCCCCAGAAGCTGAGCAGACGCCGGCGCCATGCCCTGACAGCCTGCAGGACCATGAGCCAATCAAGCCTCTTTTCTGTGTAAATCACTCAGCCTCAGGTATGTCTTTATAGCAACACGAGAACAGATTCACACACAAGGGAAGCTGCTTCAGGGAGGGGCACTCAGGCAAGGCGCTGAAGGCTGAGTAGGAGCTTGCCAGACAGCAAGCAGGGCTAGAAACAAGTCCACAGGGTCATGGCAAGATACAGCCGGCTTTCCCCATCCACAGATTCAACCAACTGAAGATGGAAATATTTGAAAAAATATGTAAAATGACAATGTAACAATAAAAGATACAGTCTAACTATGTACATAGCACTTTCATTATATTAGGCATTGTAAGTAATCTAGAGTTGATTTAAAGTATACAGGAGGATGTGCAGGTTACATGCAAATACTACGCCTTCTTATATAAGGGACTTGAGCATCCTCAGATTTTAATATCCCTGGGGGGCCTGGAATGAATCCCCGTGCCCCACACGGAGGGACGATGGTTGTGAAGACAGCAGCGGCTGGTTGAGTGCTTCCTTTGCTGAGGCACTGCGCAGGGCAAGTTGCGGGCCTTCATTTCTGAATTAGATTCCCGCCACGTGAGTGCTGCCGTGGCTCCCGTTGCAGAGATGGCTCAGACTCGGCGACCGGAGTGACTCCCTTAAGGCCCCAGAGCCAGGACCTGGAAGGACCCTGCCAGACACCGAAGTCTGTGTCCTCAATCACAACATGCCTGTGCCTGCAGGAGATGAGCTGCAAAGAGGACGCTGGGCCATCCCCGCCCTGGGAAATACGGCACGCTCACAGCTGGGAAAGCAATGAATCTGGGAATCCAGGTGGTCACTGAACCCACCACCCTCTGTCTCCATAACAGTCTTCACTGAAATTAGATGCACAGGCCTCCGGTTCTGCAGCAGTGGCCTCACGGCCACGCCCTCGCACGGGACCTGTGCTGCTTTCTCACGGCTTTCCCATTTCATTCTCAGCAGCATCCGAGGAGCCAGCTGGTTTTCAGAACCATCTCCGGAGAGTAAGACAGTCTGTTCAAATAGAAAGGCTCTTAAATTATAATAAACCTCGCACACTTTCCCCATCATTAACACGGTGTACCTGTCACTTCAGCTCAGAAGCAGCAGCGTCTCTGTGGAGAGGCCGTTCCTCTATCCTGTGGCTGGGACTCCTTCCTCCCTTCATTTTCCCAGCTGTGAGTGCACGGCTGAGAAGATTGCTGCTGTGTTGTGTGTGGCGAAAGGAAGCGGGCTTCAGCTTCATTCAGGAACAGGAAAGGGGCAGCATCATTAAGGCAGAGGGAGAAAGGAGAAAGCCAGAGTGCCGGTGCGTGGGAGAGGCAGAGCCGCGTCAGGAGGAGGCGCAGGGCCTTGGCAGATGAAGAAGCCCAGACTCGGAGATGGGGCGAGATGCTTCTCCCCTCCGTGTCTTTCACTGGGACAGGGCTACTGTCTTGGAGGGAAACGCCGCCTGCCTGTGCTGCTGAAGCATTCCCGCACTAATCTGGGGGCTTTGCTGCCTGGGAGGGCAGCTGGCTTAGGTCTGTTTTTCACGTATCGCCTTGCTGCTCCATACCTCCCGCCACAGTGGGGTCACGGGGGTCAGGAGGGTCAGGGGGATCAGGAGGGTCAGGGGGGTTG